ATATTTGGTCGATTTTGATACATTTTTTCACAACTGTGATCTGCTTCGGCAGGAATGTTATGATTTTGATGATTTTTTCACAACTGTGATCTGGTTTGGCAGAAATGCTATGATTTTGATGAATTTTTTCACAACTATGATCTGGTTTGGCAGAAAAGCTATGATTTTGATGAATTTTTTCACAAGTGTGATCTGGTTTGGCAGAAATGCATGATTTTGATGAATTTTTCACAACTATGATCTGGTTTGGCAGAAATGCTATGATTTTGATGAATTTTTTCACAAGTGTGATCTGGTTTGGCAGAAATGCATGATTTTGATGAATTTTTTCACAACTATGATCTGGTTTGGCAGAAAAGCTATGATTTTGATGAATTTTTTCACAAGTGTGATCTGGTTTGGCAGAAATGCATGATTTTGATGAATTTTTTCACAACTATGATCTGGTTTGGCAGAAAAGCTATGATTTTGATGAATTTTTTCACAAGTGTGATCTGGTTTGGCAGAAATGCTTGATACCAATACCAGTTACCGGTAATTTAAACTCACTAAACAAGATCATTTCCTGCACTAATAGTAAATATCTCAAAGCAATAATTCTAATAACACAATGTCAGCGGTAGTCAATAATTTGTATCAAATTATACTAACCCGTTCTTTTGTATTTTCAACCGCTTTCGTGTACTGTTCCAAATCCTTGCCCATGATAACATAATCTACCATTGCTTGTTTTAATTTAGTCAGGTCTTCAGCGTTGCCTAAAACAAACATCACATACTGTCAATACATATCAATTATGTCTGCACAATTCATTACATGTGCATAGAAACCCATTACCGGTACTTAATCTTAGGCCATGAAATGAACAATAGAGAATAGAGTCCAGGACAAATGTAATATACAAGTTATCAACACTGTCTTGGTGTTTTGTTATTCAATCCCATGCCTCACATCTCTGTAGCAAAACTGCTAATTCTAAACACTTCATAGAAATATCAGTACAAGGCATCAACCATAGTTGACACTGACACAACAAACATCGAAGTACCCTCAGCTTATGCATGACAAGTGTTCTTATATACAATATCTGCAAGAAACTGTCATGGTATTTAGTCATCTGTTGTCATAAGAATTTGGAAATGACAAGCAGGGTTAGGAAGACAAAACAAAAACAAACATTTTATTACAAATATTTTATGACTATTATAAATTTCTTCCATTCACCATACATACAATTGGCGACTTTCATGTTCCTGATGGCTGCTCATTTGCATGACCATTTCAAGATTTGAATGCGTGTGGGCCTACTGCAAGTGGGGTTGTTTTTGAATGACCAGGGCTTAACATCTTGAATAATCTTAAGTTCAAAGAACTTGCAGAACTCATAAATTCCCCCAGGAGTGATGCATGAAAGGCAAAGCTTATTGAACTTGTAGAACATGATGATAAACTATATGCTCGTTTCCTTGGAGCTTGGCGATCGTGGAATATCAAGTAAGCCCTGTCTTACTTTGCAAAACCGTTATAGTTTCAGTTCAAATTTACCTAAATTTCGAGTACTAGGAATTTGAAAAAAAAGCACCACCAATAAAAAATATGTGTGCTTGTTATATATTTATTTGCTACAAACTACATGCACAGACTGTTCTCTGTAAATTTTCTACTGTAATAAATCATCGCTGATAATTTCAGGTTCACGTTTGTAGCTATCATGACTGCTGTTTGTACATACAAATATAAACATGAACATTTAGTTATCATCATCGATCGTATGTCTCCAAAAAATAAGTGTGGCAGACTAAACGGACAGTGAAGAAGTTGAAAATGGAAAGCTGTTTCATGGAAAGTCATGGAATGTAACGTCCGAAAGTCAGGGACATTTCGCCGTTTTTTTTTTCTATTATTGTACTGGAAGAACAACCAGGAGATTGCAATACCAGTTAACCATTTAATATGACTGAAAATCTGAATCTGGAAATAATACACTTCACGCACAATGCTAATCGGGTGCAAACAATGTTGTATTAATTCAACCCCACTCCAAGCGCCGAACACGGCTGTCATCTGGGTACTTTGTTACGCCCTCTAGTGGTGTTCTGGCAAAACCAGACAACTCGAAAGTCAGGAATTACACTGAAAATTTACCCTGTCAAGAAGACAAAGTGTGCCCTCAAGTGATCACATGTAATTTCACTTGTTTACACAAAAGAATGCAACATTCCACAATAATGATCGAACATAAGAATACCATCTGACAATACACGGTGCTATTTATGCTGTTTTCTATTCCCTATAAATTTCACACAGTGTTTTTGACTTGGCCAATGATATAAATAAAATGATGTATATTCAATCAAAGACATACATACTATTGTAAGTATCCAAAGTGACCTAACCTTAAAATGAAGGTGCAGTACCATGTCACCTATTATTTATCATGTAGATGCTAATTAATACTAAAACAAAGATATCAAACAAATTTTGTCATTTTTAGCGCTCAACTGGACACAGTCCAAGGGCTTACGGATTGAGTTATATCAATTCCTCTGTCTGTCACATTATATCAAATGAACATACATGTAGACTAATTTTTATGGTCGATACATGATGGTATACATACATTTGTATGCTTAAAAATTGCTTAAAAACATACATATCTTATGTGTAGAGCTTTATCTCCAAGTTGTGCTAGCCAGTTCTCTTCAAACCTTACCGTACTGCAGCACGTACAGCCATTATTTATCAGATTTTTTTTCAAAATTGGCTGACTGGCAGCCATTTCGTTCATCAAAAATACTTATTTTTGTTCATTTTGCCTTATAAATTGAAAAAACAATTGCTGAGTTTATCAAAATTTGGTACAGAGACATTACATTATTTCACAAAGATAGTGAATCACCCCATATAAACTCCTTGGATGGTTACTATACATAGGTTTGACTGCATAAACACATGTAAATGAAAGATGAATAGCTCTTACCACCATTTTCTTCCAAATCCAAAGCGACATCAAGACAAGCATTCATCCCTGCCTCTATGCATTTGTCCATTTTCATCATCTGTGACACCGAGTTATCAACACAGTTAAAATTCACAGCACTGTAATCACCTGCCATCACGAAGTATGTGTACACAATATTCTATAAAAGAAATACATATAACATCAATAATTGTTTAGTTTATATGATTACTAATCATTAATATTGTTATGGAGGTCAGCCATTTTGTTTTACGAAAATCAACAATATTTTTCTTTTTTTTTCACATTTCTGACCAATTAGGTTGAATCTTGGTTCACAGAGTTCTAGCATATCAACTAAAGTTGATTTGTGTCACAATATACAATCCAAGATGGTTGTCTGGTAACCATAAACCATATCACAATTCCAAATCATAGTGTATTGTGGAATAGTTCGGATCGAATCTTTGAAGTAAGACATTATGTATGAATGCAGTGTAGGTAAGCGTATCAGGGGTCACAATTTCCAGAGGAACCTTGTGAAAGTGGGGTTCATGCAATAAAAATGAAGCACATATAGACTCATGGGTTTATTTATAGTATGTTTTCTTTATTAAAAAAAAGTGATAAGTGGCCATGTTAGCAGATCAAGCATCACCTTGGTATACTGGTATATTTGACAGGATACCATTTTTAATAACACTTAGTGCACTACGTTGCCGAAGACTTGTGGAGACTGATTAATGAAATACTGATATAGGATTGATTTGATGATATATTTAATTACTATAAAATACTTTAGCTGGAATTAATTTTCACTGAAAAGTCTTTTCAAGGTTTTTATATGGAATTTATTTTTTACTGATTGTTGATGTGTTGAATGTAAAATATGGGAAAAGAGACATATATGCTGGATATCCAAAATCAAGCAATATTTAGTCCCACCATATTTATCTGACCTTCTCATTTCAAACTCTGCCATCCATTCCTACAACACCAGAAATTGATTTCATATTTCAAAATCTCACACTCGCTCTTTTAAATATCGCGCAGCTACAGCTGCTAATAATATTGTATAATTTTATCTTACTACTTTGTTGTCAATTCATATTTTACCCCATTTATGCATTCTATCGTTCTGTTCGGACTGCTTTTATTTATTTTATTTTTTTATTATTTATTGTAAGTTTATCATATTATTTTGTAGTCATTTTATTTTATACCCTATTTATGCTTTTCTTTATTGTGTTCTCATCATTTTTGCAGTGGATTATTTAATTCTATGTTAATTTTTATATCTATATGCTGAGCATGAAAAACCATTTATGGATGTACTGTTCTAAATGAATAAATTATAAACTGCAAAATTTTCTGCATTCGCTGTCGATGAAATCAAACACAGCAATGCACGCTCTGATAAGATTCCACGGTGAGTAGAACACAAAGTGATGTGTTGTGACACGTTTCCACAGGAAATCGAATGCAAAGTTATGTGTTGTGACATGTTTCCAAGGGAAATCGAATGCAAAGTCGCATGTTTTGTCAGTTAAGCTATGACGTAATATAAGACAACACAATCTATTGGTTTAAATCTGAAGTTGATGCGAGTTGTTACAGGAACACTGATTGATGGATTCATCTTCTTGGTGCACCCAATCAAATCATTCAATTTAACTGAGATCAAATACAATGTTTCCTAACAAGATCACACATGGGTTCACAGAGACAGTCATGAATGCCGGCTCAAGCAAAAACGTGCGAATCAGATGATGGGGAACGGATGACAGTTGACAGTATAGTTTTATTATAATAATTTAATATCTTTTCACTTGAAAACCATTTTTATTTCATTATGTTTTGTTTGATGACGCATAGATCTTTAATCAAACTGTAAGATTCTTCACCATTTTCTGTTACTAGTAATATATCCACATGTCAGTTATACTTTTTCTTTTGACACAGAAATTGAACATGGTTGCTTGTCTTCAAACCCAAAACATGGAACTCCATGTCATGATAATACTACAATAGCTCTGACATTTTTTGCAACAAATGTTGTCAAACTTCACACTAAAATAAATGTGTGTACCAGAGCGTATAAATTCATCCAACAGTTAGATTACTAATAACATTCTACAGTTATCAAATACCATAAAAGTGATGTAGCATAAGCTGTGAAGCTCTATGTGCATAAGCCAACTTAGGCCTGGGTACATGGACTGTGTTGGGGGTTAGTAGCATACGAACAGGCGGTCGTAGGCTTAGTCTTTTCCACGAAACAAAACAAAATGAAATGAAACGAAACAAAATAAAACTATATCAAATTTGTTAACCACATCGAAAATCGCCACGTCATGGAAATAAATTTCTCAAAAATATTTAGTTTGCAGCTCAATAAATACGAGTAACTAACATGACAGCTCAATAAATAAATACGAGTAACTATAACATGGCATGACCGCCATTTCGATTCACAAAACATGGAACGACCCAAAACGAGACAAACGAACCAAAACGAGCCAAACTACCCCAAGACAAGTCAAAAACGAGCCAAACGAACCAAAAACTACCCAAATGAGTCACAAACAAACCAAAATTAGAAACAAAATAAAAAGGGTGAGCGATCAGCCATTTTTGAAAGGATACTTGGAACTGACAGTTGGGGGGGCTATTCCCAAACGACACAATAAATTAATAAAAATCTCTTGATAATATGAGCAAGTAAATACTAAATAATTATAACACAATAAACAAACTAATGCATAATAATTTTAAGTAATAAATAATTATTAACAAAATAAACACTATACTTGATAATTATTAAGAAGTAACCAGTAAATTAACTAATTAAATAAGGCATCGCAATAATTAATTAATTAAATACATAAATAAAGTCTGAACCTACTATTTCCAAGCTGTACTGGAAATGGAAAAACAAAGGGCATAAAAAAACTGTCTAATAAGAATAAAAATACTGTAAAATTATATTAAAATTAAAGATGGAGGGATATTACAGCGCGTTTTTCACAAAAGACAGGCTCTTGCATTGTGACTTGTGATAAGAGCGACCAGTAAATTTGGCTGGGGTGATTTGATAAGCAACGAAATTTGAGGGGATTGTTGTACTTAGATCGAAAAACGGACTCGCCCATTTAATTGTCTGAATCACTGTGGATGACGCTATAAAAATATAGAGTTGAAAATTAGAAATGTTGGAAGACAATTACTTTGTTCTTAAGTTTTGAGCTGGATTTTTCACGATGGATCAGCTGTAATATTGTCGCCGCTCTATTATAGAAGTTATTTTTTTAAACGTTTGTTTTATGAAATTTTCTCTGTATATTTTTTGACAAAATCTACTCACAAGTTTATTATGAAAATCCCAGATAGAATAAATATCACTGTGCACATTGCCCATGATTGTTAAACATCTAAACGGTCAAAGGGGTAAAGGGTATCACATGAGACATTATGTAGATTGTTTCTGCCTCATACCTGGTGGCCGTCACTTGTCGCGCTTTCTACTGGTTAGTTAAATGCGTCCATGCAACAAAATTATTTTAACACTATTTTTATATGTCACATGAACAAATAGAGCGTATAGTCCAGAACACTGAAAGGATAAAATGTGTTTAAATATTATCGATCCGTCATCCTCGATCATTATGAGATGACCGCGATTGGTCATATGTTACATTAGCCCGCAATCAAAATTAAAAAAAACAATTGTCACTACTACAGGCAAAGCTTTGGAAATTACAGCTAAACTTTAAATCTAAATTGCTTACTGCTAATTAAATCATTGAAATAACGCCACAAACCAAATATTAATAGTTTTTGGAAAACTTAGTTTAGCCATGGACCAATTTATTATTTGCTGATGTATTATAATTGTGTATTAGTGTCTTTATCATTTTATTATTTGCACTGCCAGTTCAAAGTATCCTTTCAAAAATGGCTGACCGCTCATCTTTTTGATTTTGTGCCCAATTTTGGTTCGTTTGTGACTCATTTTTGGTCCGTTTGGTTCGTTTTTTGGCTAGTTTTAAGTTATTTGGCTTGTTTTGGGTTGTTTTGCTCGTTCCATGTTTTGTAAATCGAAATGGCGGTCATGCCATGTTATAGTTACTCGTATTTATTTATTGAGCTGTCATGTTAGTTACTCGTATTTATTGAGCTGCAAACTAAATCTTTTCGAGAAATTTATTTCTATGACGTGGCGATTTTCAATGTCGTTAAAAAAATTGATATAGGTTTATTTCGTTTCGTTTCGTGGAAAAGACTAAGCCGCGGTCGTACAATAATTCTCCCGATCAACAAGTACTACGAGGGCTAAAGGCCAACTTTGCAATTATTCCATGATGTATTTTCAAGAAGGCTGTTTCAGAAACGGGGGTCAGTCATTCGCCACTCTCACGTATTGAAACGGGTCTTTTGAATATGAATAAGGTCGCTACTTCATAAGTGGGTCAAATGTGACAGTCATTGAATAACCTTCCGAATAGTCAGGACTTACCAAATATAAACACAACCATCTGAATTTTCCACGAAATACAAAATCTCGCGAGATCGTGCTTTTGTGGCAGTGCTGCGCACGCTCAGTAATAAATTTAAACTTGTTTCCTGCATGCACTAGTTGATCACAGTGTTTATAGAATCGATCTAATAATTAATGTTCGTTCTATGATCTTCAATGTTGGCAACATCATGCCGGACCAGATTAGTGTTTCCGAATTTCTGGGAGAGACCAAGGATGACATATCATCACCTACAACTTCAAATTTCGTGACGAAGATGGGGCACTGTCGAAACACCATTTCTGCGTTGGAAGAGGTAGGTGAAAATCATGACTAATTTCAGCTAATATAACTTGTTGGTACAGAAGCCCGTGTTGGAGGTGGACCTAGTGCTTGTTGTTTTTTATCCATCAGATCTTGTTTTTCTAGTTTGAAGACGTTACCATTATATCCCAAACTGTTAGGGCATTCGGACAAGACTACTAGTAAAAAACAACAACATATATTGTGTACGCTAGCTGCGAACACCGCAAACTTCCGGGACAGCGGTCCGACCGAGCTTATGAACACATCTCTGTCAATGACGGCCCAGTTTTAACATCGGCGGAACGTTAACCGTTCTTCCCTTCACAAGTAAAGGAAGTGGGATTAAGTCAGAATCACAGTCACATGCTGAAATAAGATATCTTTTATACACAAGTTTCTTATCCAAATAAAATGTAAACATAAAACTATCTCGATATAAAAGAGAGCTTTCTAATCGTCCCGGGTAGTTGTACTAGCAGGAAGAAAAATAGACTGGTACATGTGAAAGGTGTGGGTATTAGGGACAGTTGACATGTCCCTGAATTCACCTGTGTATTCTAACGCTCATAGTATCAATATAACTGTCATTGTTTACGGTAATTAACCGTAAGAAGGTGTGAAAACAGTAAACAAAATGAAAATTGTTTTTCTTTGAGTTTCACCATAGAGGTAATAAGAATTCTTATTACCTCCATGGTTTCTCAAAGATTTCTATGAGTCTAATCTCACAATACATACTTTCTTATCAAGGCAAACAGTAATTATTGTAAACATTAACAATGGTGTCACATGATTCAGTAGTGTTGTCCCAAGGATTGTAAACACCCATTGACTTTTATAATAATATATCAATTCCTAAAAATGTGTGTTGTTTCTTTCCAAATATCACCCAAGACAGCGATTTACAGTGGCATTTTGTCATGGATAGTCATTGCTGACAGTGACCCTTAAGATTTCATAGTGTGCTTCGCTAGCTTTTGTGTGGAAACATAATAATAGTGGCTAGACATGATCAGACATACTAAAGAATGATCTTAATTTGTCACTCAAAAACTCCCAGATTTATTTTTCAGATAGTATTCTACCCACTTGTTGAACTTTCATATTGTACTAGTATATTGTTTGGGTACTGCAAAACCATTTATTTTCACTGTCATTTAATTTCAATGTTTTGATGTTTAGAGCAATTTCACCGGGTTTAAAATGACAAATTTGCCAGGGAAAGAATGAGTTCTACTGTTTTTTGACATGATCACATGAATTTAATTTAGGGAATTTTAATTATCTGCGAAAATTGTGAAATTAAAAACCATTATATAATATATGTGTTTTTGTATCACTATAGTAAGGTATTTGCATACATGCTACTATCACACATATGTTGAAGGAAACGCCTTAACACCAGTTACAATGTCTGGTAAAATCACGATTACCTAAGTACATACCACCCATAAACACATATCATTAAATGTAACTGATATTCTCATTTAGTATCAACAGTTTTTGTTTATGAGATAAATTACAAAATTAATCGACTGTTTATTTGTTGTTGTAGTTAGTATACTGTCATTCAGTGATAAATCCTACTGATGTTTGCAAAAATTATGAGAAAAATCCTGCAAAAAAGTTTTCAGTCTATTTGTTTTCCAAAATCAAGGGGCATTTTAAAATTTTTATTGTATATTAAAATTGTGTATTTACATTTTATTTTTTTTTATGAAAATTGAATTCATTACTAGAAGACTTTAAACAGACTCATGTGATGTTCAGAAACATTTTTATTGGAGAAAAAGATCAAAACGATTAATTAGAGTTTGTCTTGGGTTTTCTTTAGTGTCCTTGCATGGAGAGTGTTTTGTGTGTGTTTTTTTTAAAAATATAATAGCATGTCTGATATCCATTGCAAAATCAAACATTACTGTGTTTGCCGATCCATGGTGTTCTAAGCTACTAAGAACTGCTTTAATTGACTTTTAAGTACATGAATTTTCAATTGCATGAAGATCTATACAATCACTTGTACCTGGTTTTGAATCCTCTCCAAAAAAAATAAATAAAACATCTGGTACATTGTACATTCTTATTTTTCAATATGAAATTTTGATGTTCAAATAAAGACGATCAAAACATTTTGTGGTTGCCCCTCACAGCATCAAGGAATTTCTAGCATTGTACAAGTTTTCAAATATTTCTAATTGAATGAATAAATAGTTGCTCTGTTCGACTGGGATACTAGACACAGCAAGACTTCTGTGTTTATTATTTCTAAATCCACTTTCTATTTGCTGAACACTGTAAATCATTGTTTTGATATTGTCTCCTAATTACATTTACAATGTAGTCATTGATGTTCAGAGCTTATACTGAGGTTGAGGTCTATGTAAGCACATAATTGAACAAAGATTTATAATAGGAAAAGGTTATAAAGTCTCTAAACTAGGCCCAACGTTTTTAGAAAATTAAAATTGAATAAATCTAAATTGTCACACCCATCCCCATTCCTTGTGTGTGTGTTAAGTGCTCTTCTATTAAACAAGGACTATGACAACCTGATAATCACATCCACACACACTATTCAGCATAATCATTACAGACTTACCACCTAGAGAACCCTTGAACTTCAAACAGATTGCATTCCATTATCAACTCTTGTTGTATACATTACCTGTACTTTCACTGAATTTACCCACCAAGACAGAATGAATGGCAACACAATACAACCTTTGTCAACTGACACTGTATCTATTTCAAGACTTTCTTTCCAGTGTGTGCAGTAGTCAATTTAAAATACATTCACAAATTGATAGTTAAATAAATTAATCAGCATTATAATTTATTAAAAAAAATGAATATAATCATATACACATGCTTTGAAGCTGGTCATTTACATAGTAGGAATGCAGCTTCTTAATTTTACATGCTCTACATACAGTAAACGTAATTGCTTTTACTTTCTACACTCTGATTTATAATGCTGAGGTTAAAGACATGGATCACTGACTTTTTTTTTCTTTTGCAATTTTACTGTGTTGAAATATTTTAATTGTTTCTTTTTCAAGAAAAAGGTGCTTCCGACCTTGGTTGTATTTGTTAGCATGTGCTGAAAAAAAATGTTTGAAAGTTCTTATCTCCAATTATAGCTGCTTGTGGTTTGTACAACATGTCTGATACCAGTTTGTCTGACCTCTTGTACATTTCTCCCTTCATATTACCATGACGACCTTAGCAACAGCTGTTGTCAAGGACAGAATTACATGCATATACTCCAGACATGTACCAAAGAAATAAATTTTCTTCCTTATCTAGGAAATTTTTAAAACATAACAGTACCACTGTGAGTAAGGGTTAAACCATTTTAAAACTTTGAGAGTTAAGTTTGGTGGATGAAGGTTTTTTGCAAATTCTGATTCAAAATTATTGCATGTAGAAGAGAGATAAACATTCCTTACAACCTTTCACAGAATAATTGCAATTCAAAAATGAATATGTCTGCAGTAACCCTCCCCCTCCACATCTTCCTCCTTGGTAGCATACTGCATGCCAGGTCATATACAGTAGTATCTTATTCTTATTGGGTGTTCTATTAATACTGGGTAATGGTTTTCAGATAAGGCTGCATTATGGGATTATTCCAAGGAGTTTTACTTTAACCTTTGACCTGATACCCTGATTTTTGCAGCAGGAAGAGATGTAATTTAATTTCTTATTAGGTGACAATTTTACATATCCATGCAAGAATGCTTTTCTATCTAAATTCCAAGCTTTAAAAATATTATTGGTAATACAAGGTTGTATATTCCTGTTGGGTAGGTATGCAGGGTGTCAGTCTAAGGGGTCAAATATTTGAAATTATGTGGGGTGGCTGGACCAGTGCAAGTATTTTTTTGTGGTGTCTTTTCTTAGCATTTTTTTTTAATATGCCCTGCAACATTTTGCATGCATTTTTGCATTTCTCTTGGTGTCTAGCTTGCAATTTTTTTTTTAACAAATCTCCCAACCCCTTGATTTGAAATAGTCGACTTCTAAATATTTCTATGCATTCGTTTAGGTGTAATCGAAACTGCTGAATTGGTTGCTGTTAATCTTCACTGTTTGTTGAAGAAGATGAAGTCACGGCAACCCAAACTACCTGCTTACAAATTGTCATGATGTTACTGTCTTGCATTTTGTTTATGTACCCTCAAAGCTGAATTCACATGTGCGTGTCATTTTGTAGAGTTATTAAAGTGATAATTACTGTTTATTTCTGAGCTGAGCTCAATGTTAATGGGTTCACTGCTAATCAGCTAGAAATATTTCAACTATATTAATTTATAAGTGTGACAGCAGTATGATTGATTTATTTGCATCTATGTGACATCCTTGCTATTACAAAACAGTCATCATAGCGTGGTTAAGCTTAACGATGGAATGACATTTACATTATACATCATACCACATAAAACCAATGGTCTATGTCATTTATAAAAATAGAACATGCATATCTATACTGAAGACATTAATCTGGTGTAATTGACATGAATTATTGCTAAGTTCTAAATATATCTTATTATCCGAACACAACTGTATTAATTGAAGCACACAACTAGAAATTGCAATTATTGTTGACTGGATTTGTTTGACTTTATTTTGACCTTACACACACCTGACATTTTTAAAACTGCTTGTCACATGACATACATAATGTACATAAAATATCTCATTTGAATCTCAAGATGAATAAATAAATAAATCTAAAAATGAATGAATGAATAAATGAATGAATGAATAAATGAATAAATAAATAAATAAATAAACAAATAAACAAACAAACAAACAAACAAACAAATTGCTAATTTTAGCAGCACTATCCCAGTAACATATTGACAATCCTGGTAATTTGTCATATTTGTTATTTTATTAGTCTTGATAATAATATTTTTTCATCTTTGGAACTATATAAAATTCATTGATCATTAAGCCAACCCAGACCTCTGCCACGATGTCTAGACCCATCTAGAATTACTGTGT